AATGATTAATGATTTTTGTCAAATTTACAATTAAAGGGGCTGAAATATTTATTTTTTTAAATTGCATTTATCATATTGGGTGTAAGGTATATTTTGATATGTATCTTTCTTTGTGAATTATTTTATTATTTATTTAGTAATTTCAAATACGTTTTTTATTTTTCAAAAGAAGTTAATTTAAATGTAATCACAACAATAACATATAATCACGATAAATAGTCAACACATTATATGGTTAGCTGTAAGTAAATCAACATTTAAAATAATTTTTGTAATTTTGAAGTGATTAGTATATTGATAGATTAAATAAATAAAAAGTAACGGTTTTTGGAGGGAAATTTTTTTATTGCCACATAAGTATAATTTAATAGGTTTTATTAAATGCTCATAAGCCAACAATTATATATATAGATTGGAGTCGGTTGGGGCTAACCTTTTGTCCAAATAAATGCCAAAATAATATAATTAATTTGAAATCAGAATGTATCCTAAACCTATTAGGATATGAACCATATGATATATACTAGTACGTCACCCGCGCGTTGCGCGGCCTGATGTTAAAAATTATGTGGATGAATTATAATTTAAATAAATATTAACTTTCATAAAATATATATAGAGAAAAAAAAATTATTATAAAAAATCGATCCATTATATTTTAAAAATGTTTAGCTAAATACAACATTTTTAGTGGATCAATTATATTAATTATTACCATTATCCTCATAAATAATAATCATGAGACAACAAAGATTATGATTATAGAAACAACAACATATAATTGATTGTTTCTATAAACTAACATATGTTTTTTACCACAAATATTTTCAAATGAAATAAATTTAACTTAAACAAAATATTTGTGATAGTCAATGATAATTAGTATTTGTTACATTGATGACACTCTTTGAAGAAAAAAAAAAAATGTCTTGATAATAATATAATTTTCTTCATTTGTGATTAACGAAAGACATTATTACTATTATATATATGCGCTTATATAGAATAATTGAAATAACATGTAAAAATATGAGCCAATTAAAATTAAAGTTATAAATTAAATACCTAAGAAAAAAAAAATTACTCAATTTTAACCGCGTGCATTTAGTTTCAAATTAGGTCCACATGTCTTTCACTTTTTTTAATCGGCAGAATAATTCAATTTCATTTAGGTGCAAAATAATTCCGATTGTGAATAGAGTAACGTGCAAGATGGATCACCTTTTGTAAACTTACAAATGTGCAAAATAATTGTTTGCACGTGCAAGATGGATCACCTTAATGTTCATGTCAATAACAATTTTATTTTTTTTCACGTAATTCACGCGGAATGTAAATTGATATACTTTTTAGAAATGACATTGATAGAATTTTTGTAAAATGATAATAAAAGACATTTAAATTATGCTATATAAATTGTAAAAGACTAAAATTTATTCTGGTAAAACTAACATTTATGATATATGGTAAAAATAATTAGTTGATGCATTATAGTAAATAGTATTGAACTTTATCTATTGCAAGGATTCAGTAACGATAAATATATTTTTCTCATTATCTTACGAAAAAATAACATGTGTTATAATAACAATAATTTACCAATAGTTAACACATTATGCTAATTTTATTCATAAAAATTATAGTTGCATAATTGGGGAATAATAAAGAAATTAATATTTAGGCAGTTACTTTAGTCAGAAACTTGTAGGCTACTTCAAATTTAAGTATAAATGAACAAATGATATCAACTAAAAATAAAATAAATAAAAAATATTATGTATTTTGGGCTCAAACTATTCAATCATTTAGGACCAAAACCATTATAAAAGGCCTAATATATTACAAACATTCCATTAAATAATTTTGAATAATAAATATATATTGTTTTATTCAGTCTTTACAAT